GTGCGAACACCACACGAAAAAGTGCACTTAGGGGTGTGTTTGTCCTACCCCCGGAAGGGTTGGACCGTTCACACCCGATCCCCCGGGGCACGAAGCTCCTGACAGGGACAAGGTTCCCATTTGGTCCTCCTGGTTTGTCCAAAATTGTAGTTAATAATAATCAACTCCAATCACTGTGGGTATGGTCCGGTATCCTGATGTAAAAGTTTAGATAGATTGCCTTCTCACCAGAAGCGCAATCTCACTGCGCATATCATGATCAAATACATCCGGGGATCATAGATAGGAGCTGCCTGGTATTGTGATCTTCTGGTGGTCCCTCGATGGTGTATGAGAAGAATACCAGTCTGGTCACAACGTACTTACTCCTCAGATCTGCACCGATGCCTGAAATACTGGGGCTGAGGTGTGGAGGCTCAGTGCCAGGTATAGAGAATAAAGGTGCGCATAGTGTAGTAATGTTGATGAAACAATTTATTAAATCGAGTTTAAGCAGAAATGTACACACATGACAGTGACTGCGGATGGTGGTAGGAAACTGCTTGTAAACAGTAATAAAAGCACCTTAAAAGCACTGACCAGTAAAAGTCATATGGTGGCCGCCGGACCTCCTGATCCGGCGGCGTGACGTCAAGGCGTGCAAGGGCTTCTCCTAGACGCGTTTCGTGTAAACACACGTCTACTGTAGGGGTGATGCTGTGCAGGCTGGACGTCATATTGCTCATATTTATAGGGAAAAATACAGCTAATTGCACCAGCGCCATTTTGCCAAAGTCCAGCGTACTGCGCATGCACGGGCACCATTTTTCCAGTGATTTTCGCAAATCTAAAATGGCCACCGCATGTCTCACTGCGCATGCGCGAGTGTTCCGGCCGCCATTTTGTTGGTTGGGAAATCCTGTGAGACCGCACAAAACTGCGCATGCGCGAGCCGTGCGGCCGCCATTTTATTGAAGATAACAGCCGAAATAGAGAGGCACAATGCTGTGTCTTGTATTGGATAATGACAACAGATCATAAGCCAAAAAACAACACTTTATGTTGAACTGGGATACTTAAATACCCACCATAACTCCCTTAAGAGAAGCTCAAATAGATAAATAGGTAATGGGGTGAGACATAAGGTACCCCCAGATGCGCAAATTAGTGCGCATGCACGGGAGACACGGGCCGCCATTTTCTTGGTGCTTCCTGCAGGTCTCATGCAGATTTTGGCAATAAACTGTGCATATCATAGTAATTAAAATGGTGCATTTTTACAAATAAAACAACTTAGCGGCAGATACAATAAACATAATGATAAAGCAACCACATTCAATGTGTGGTAAACTAGTGGTATTAAAAATATGTGAAGAAAATTATATAAACACATAAAAGAGAATATAAAATATAAAATTATAAAAAATAAAGATAAAAACATATGTACATGTCATGATATATTCTAATAGATAGTCCTGGGATTGCAATATCAAGCATATAATCTGACGGTGTATGGGGTTCAGCTGTTGTCACTGAAGCAGTACTTTGTGACCAGACCAGTATTCTTCTCATACACCATCGAGGGACCACCAGAAGATCACAATACAAGGCAGCTCCTATCTAGGATCCCCGGATGTATTTGATCATGATATGCACAGTGAGATTGCACTTCTGGTGAGTAGGCAATCTATCTATACTTTTACATCAGGATACCGGACCATACCCACAGTGATTGGAGTTGATTATTATTAACTACAATTTCGGACTATAAAATTTATATGATATTATTGTACCGGACATATGATCTATTCACCATTTATTTCTTTGCTGAAAGTTCAGCTTGTTTCAGGACTTTTTTGTAGCGCTGCACTCCCCTTTGATAAATTGTACTAAGGGTTGAGGGGCTCTTTAATGGGAGAACTGCCATCATGACCATCGAAACTTTGCTGCCTGCAGTACAAGATGTACTTACTTGTACTAGGTCAAGAGATTTGAATTGTATATATTATCAGTTACCTTGGAATTATCACAAATTAATTGCAGCATTGCCAGTGTTAAGCAATTAGAGATCCGACTGGATCTGAAATGAGGATTTTAAAGTGCTTGGACTCTTTAATTCAGGTCATAAGATCAATTACAAAGCACTACTTAGCATTAAAGTGGAATTTCACTCACTCAATCAACATTGACTATTTTGAATCCTTATGCTGCTAGCATTAGTAAATAGATATGAAAATGTATTATATTTACCTGTTTCAAACAGTTTTTCTTTATTTACTTCCTAGTTTCCATGCCAAGGCAAATTATTTTATACATCCCAGGAATCTTTAGGAAGGGAGGAAGGGTTTTCTCAGCTATGCATACCCTCCTGCCTGGATGCCTGAGCTAAGGGCAAATGGATTCAAGGAAATACTAGAAACATTTGCCCTTACTCAAGATGACCATGGCCAGAAATGCTAGGGTGTGTTTTTCAAAGTGATCTCTCAACAAAATAAAGCATGGAGACATGAATGCATGGGGGAGTTTTCTTTGAATATTAAAAATAAATTAAATAGTGATTTTGGTTTGTGGTGCTCAGTTCCGCTTTAACATTCCTTGCACCCCATTTAGGCGATGGTAAAAAGCTATCATTCATTGCATACAAAAGATTGAAATCTTGATAGATTTACAAAAAAAGTTATTTACCTGTCTTTTTGCCTTGAGTGTTATTATATTACATGCTTGCCTTGTTAATTTGCTGTAGCCATAGGTTGTGGTTGGCTGTGAATACTCTTACCTGTTTAGTAGCCCAATATTAGAGTTAGGTGTGGATTGCTGTTTTTAGGTCTCCTCTAAAGGCTAATGAGAATGTTCAACATCAGATTAAAATTAAAAATTAAATGTTTTCTCATTGGACGAAAAAAAGTGAAGTAAAATAAAGTAAATTAACTACGTGATGTACCATAAGTATTTTGTACATTGAACACATAAGCTCATTTTTAATCAAAAGGCATTAATCCGTTAAGCCATAAAATTTGCTCTGTGAAGTACATAGATAAATCTCCAATTCACAAAATTCTACCAGGCATAATGCAAACTAGTGATGTGACAAAGGATGTACATAATATAAACATGGAAAAAGTTTAGAAGCAAAGGTTCAGCAAAAATGTAAGAAAGTGTATCCACATGATCATCCTTAGAACAACAGTGACAAGAAGTGGAAAGGAGATTCATAAGAAGTTCCTTTGGTGATAGGATTTGAAGAAACTCTTGGATACATCATCAACTTTTCTTGTGAATTGCCAACCACCAAGTGCCAAGATATGGATGCTAAAAATTTCCAATGGATAAAAGATCCAGGTTAGAGACTCACTTGGATTCAAGGCAAAATCAGCCTATTCACAGTTCATAGACCTGGTGAACTAATGTGTGATTTTGTGAAATAGTTCCTTCTATATAATCAAAAAAAAGGGGGAAATAACGGCACTACTCTGTGTACCACAAATTATATGAATATCCAAATCAAATGACACTTACTTCATATATATCAAATAACTGTGTCTAATTAAACTAAACAAATATAAAAGTGCAATAAGAAAGTCCAAAGAAAATATCCACCCAATGTTTTAACAGTACACAAAAATAAAATAGTCACACCAAAAGCCAGTCTTGTTATTAGAGAATTGTAACTTCAAACTTCTCTAGCTTAATTTCTCCACACCAAGTGCTCAGTGCCACCAGATTTCCTTAAGACATTCATTCCCCAAATTTATATGCCTCACATTCTCATGATTGGCATATAGATCATATTGTTTTGTATAATTCTTTACTATGTTGAAGTCTCACCCGGCTGTTCGCTTGTCACTGCCGGAACATCACTTCTGGTTGCCGTACAGCCATGTCCACATTTTGTCATTCAAAATTTGTCCAGGGATTGGCTGTGTGGATTGGCATCCACTCTAATATAGATGTCTATATTAGGATAATACAATTTATCTCTGGCAGAATATGCCAACGGTGGGGGACTCTGATTTGGAGGAAACTAGACCCACTGAATCACAGACTTCCACTGACTGTAATATGATAATGGGTACTAATCTTGGTGGTGGACACCCACCTCAGAAAGCTAGAGGATATGAAAGAAAAGGACAGATTTACCATATAGACACCCCCAGAGTAATCCAAGGAATGAGAATGGGTATGGCAGAAATCTCAGCCAAGACCCTATTACTGGCAAAATCAACCCCCACATACCCCTTATAGGATGCAAAAGGGTGACCAATACAATGTTTTGGTATATAATAGATACCATGCATTAACTAATTATGAGGAGGACAATAGAGGTTACTGTCCACCTCTTATTTTAGAGGGGCCAAGGGGTGGGTGGAGAACCCCCAGGAGGAAACCATATATCTCAAAACAGTGGAAAAAGGGCCCACAAGACCCCTTTACATAAACATACATATGTATGGAACCAGAAAGAAGGGAAGGAGGGGCTGTAGGGCAGGTAGAAGCAGGGGCGGACTGACAACTCATGGGGCCCCCGGGCAATAGGGGATCATGGGGCCCCTGTGTCCTTGCCAAAACTCAAAAAAGCCTATGAAAAAGGTACCAGGGGCATCTCATGGGGGCCCCTACTGACCCCGGGCCCTCAGGCAGTGCCCGAGTTTCCAAATGGTTAGTCCGCCCCTGGGTAGAAGAAAACAATCCAAGAAAGAGAAGAGGAGATGTGTAAATAAGGGTATTTACCGCATTTTTTTTCTTCATAAGACGCACTCTCCCCCCCCCCCCCCCCAATAAATGGGGGGAAATGTCTGTGCATCTTATGGAGCAAATATTGACCAGGCCTCCCCCCTCCCCCGTCACCGCCGCTGTGTTAGAATACTGGGCCAGCCAGCAGGGAGGGGGCAGGGCCAGGTCCGGGAGCTCCACTGACCCCGCCCCATGCAGCCTGTATGCTCGAGAGGGAGCTGCTGTAGTAGAATTTGTGATGTGAGTGGGAGCCCCACCGCCAGACCTCAGAAAGGATGCTGAGCACGGCTGGTCATGTATGTCCTTCTTCCCATAGACTGCCTGTGGACTGTTATACCAAACCCTGAGCTGTTTTTCACAAACTGTACATCTGTGCATTGCTGAAAGAACTCTTTCCATCCCCTGTAATATGTCTGCAGTCTCTGGTCATCTCCTGTACTATGTCTGTAGTCTCTGGTCATCTCCTGTACTGTCTGTAGTCTCTGGTCATCTCCTGTACTATGTCTGTAGTCTCTGGTCATCTCCTGTACTGTCTGTAGTCTCTGGTCATCTCCTGTACTATGTCTGTAGTCTCTGGTCATCTCCTGTACTGTCTGTAGTCTCTGGTCATCTCCTGTACTATGTCTGCAGTCTCTGGTCATCTCCTGTACCATGTCTGCAGTCTCTGGTCATCTCCTGTACTATATCTGTAGTTTCTTGTCATCTCCTGTACTGTCTGTAGACTCTGGTCATCTCCTGTACTATGTCTGTAGTCTCTGGTCATCTCCTGTACTGTCTGTAGTCTCTGGTCATCTCCTGTACTATGTCTGTAGTCTCTGGTCATCTCCTGTACTATGTCTGCAGTCTCTGGTCATCTCCTGTACTATGTCTGTAGTAGTCTTGGTTCAGAATATTTTTTTTCTTGTTTTCCTCCTCTAAAACCTATGGTCAGGTGCGTCCTATGGAGCAAAAAATACAGTATAATCTCACTAATGTAACTTTGACCCATAAAGAGATGAACATTTTGAATTTAGGTCTGATGTCTGCCCCCAAAAAATCTTTGAGTATATTTGATGTGTACATTGATACTCATAAATATATATATATGGAAACTTAATATGAAAAAATATTTTTAAGCAATCCATTGGACTCTAGAAGGAGGGCAGCAACAGCATCAGAAGTCATTAACAGTGGACTGAAAAATACATCTACATTTAATCTGCCATTGGCCAATAATCATCACATAAAGAATATTATCACACGCAGATGATAAAAATATGTTAGCAGATAGGGATACTTATGTGATACTTATGTGAGGATTAAAGAACAATCCTACATGTAGGTACACTGAACAGCTAAAAAACTGGGATAGAAACAGGGCAAAGATCTAAAGTATTAACCAAGAAGAAGAAAAAGTATTTGGTTCCTACAGTATATCGTATCCCTATCATATATAGCTTGGCAAAAATAGGATGTTCAGGCTCCTCCTGCACGTCCTATAGTAATTGGACTTGGTTCGGTGACAGCAAGAATGGGAGAGTATTTAGACAAATTCCTCCAACCTAGTTTTGTACAAACTAAGACTTATTTGAAGGTTACTAAATATATATTATTGATGCTTGATAAAATTCATCTGGGAGATAAAAAATAAATCTATTTGGTTACTGCCGATGTATCATCATTGTATACAATAATGCAACATAATTATGCCCATTTAGCTTTAAATTGGGGGTAAATAGATCTGATTCCACATGCACAAATTTTTTTGGGGGGAGAGCCCTGGATTTATGTATCTCTCATAGCTATTTTTGGTATCAGGGATATTTCTATTCACAGAAAACAGGTGTTGCTATGGACGCAAAATTTGCACCCAGCCTTGCAAATTTGTTTATGGCAGAATGGGAGGGCAAGACAATGTTTAATACCTCTAGACTTGAGTTAATTTTCTATTGGAGGTTCCTTGATGACCTGCTAATTATCTTAAGTATCTGGGAGGCTTCAGAGGAATCAATACATTCCTTCATGGCGTATTTGAATTCTAATGCCCATAATATAAATTAGAATACCGATTAAGTGATGTTGAATTTAATTTTTTGGATGTAACATTTAGAAAACAGGGCAATAAGCTGTATAATTATTGGCATATTTGATGTATGGATAAAGATTTGGGACCAGTTTTACCAAAACATCCTAGGTTTATATATAGAAAGGCCCCTAATTTTGGAGACCGGGTGATTAAGAAAATATTAGAACTACCAGATAAACAAAAAAAAATATATTTTTTTAATTTTTTGTTCCTTGTAGGAAGTGTAATTTTTAGAGACTGTGACCAAAAATGTAAAAGGGTGGACTCAATTTAATTCAACCATAGAGGATAAAAGATCTAACATCAGAGAATTTATTACACGTAATAGCAGTTATGTAGTATATGTACTTTTATGTCTTTGTGGTTTCCCCTGTGTGTGAAAGACTAAAAGGTCTTTAAAGAAACGTACTGCTGAACATATAGCCAATATTATTGATGGATATAGGCAACATAGGGTCTCTTGGCACTTTAAAATGGCTGATGGGAAGGATCCCTCTGGTCTGCAATTTTGGGGAGTAGACCAAGTAAACTCATCACGGGGGGGGGATCTAACCATGTGAGCAAACTTTCTAAAAGAGAAACCAAGTTTATATATTTATTAAAATCTTTGTCTCCAGATGGATTAAACATAGAACTAGATTTAAACTGTTTCATTAGTGACTATGAGGGAGAAGTCCATTTATTTATCAATTCACTATTCCAAACTTAGGAACATATTTTATATGGTTTTTAGTATTATCATATTCAGTGGTTTGTATTATATTCAGGGAATTATATAAATATATTTTTAATTATATTTATTATTATTTATTTACTATGATTCGTTCTAAGGAACAAAGGTTCAATTTTATATGATGTATTGTTTTAGCTTTACTCAGAGATGATCGACACACAATTTGCCCAACCGACACATTTGGAGTACTGCTTTAAATTTGGAAGCTGTTATGCATGATGAGGATTCGATTATGTGGATTAGGTGTTGATTATATATAATTTTATTTAATTTTACTTATATATTTGTATTGTTGATTTGTACTTTAGATGTTTAATGTAAGATGGATGTACAGTATATTTAATGAATTTACCATTGATATGTATACCATCACTGCATGTGCTAAATATGCTTGGATCGCCAGACCTGTACAGTACAAATAGTTAAAAATTAGCATATGGACATCTATACTAGAGTGGTTGCCAAGCTGCACAGCCAATCCCTGGACAAAGTTGGAATGACAAAATGTGCATAGGACATAGGCTGTATGGCAACTGGAAGTAACATAGGACATGATGTTCTGGGAGTGACAGGCGAGTGGCCGGGAGAGATGCCAACATAGTCGGCTTGTTTCTGACATGTCCAATCATTACAGCGTTTGTTTCATAAGGCTTTTAAAGATGTATAATTTGTTAGTGGCTTTTCAGCAGTCAATAAATGGTGTTTTATTGGTATTACACTCCTGGATTTTTTATATTTTTCTCTTCATGAATGCTGGTTTTATATTGAGCTGATCTGGAGGGTCACACTGATGGTAAGCATTAAATAAGACAATATGCTCTATATCTCTATATGCTGATCGTAAGAATGTGAGGCATATAAATCTGGTGAGTGAGTGTCCTAAGGGGTTCTGTTGGCACTGAGCACTTGGTGTGGAGAAATTAAGTTGGAGAAGATTGAAGTTACAATTCTCTAATAACAAGATTGAATACTACTGGGGCTTTATTTTATTTTTGTGTAATGCTAAAAGACTGGATGGACATTTGCTTTGGACTTCCTTATTGCACTTTTAGGTTTATTTAGTTTAATTAGACGCAGTTATTTGATATATATGAAGTGTCTTTTGATTTTGGTTATTTATTTAGTTTGTGGTACAGGGAATAGTGCCTCTGTTCCCCTCTTTTTTTTATTATATAGAAGAAACACATAATTTCTAATGACTTTTAAAGTGGCAGCTATTCACTTAATTCACATCACTAGTGGTTTCTTTGGTGCGGAGGAAGAATTGTTGGGCAGAAGTGAGAGGTGCACAATAGTTCATTAGGATAAATGCACTTCATTACGATGATGAACTTCCTGACATTTGAAGTTGCATAGTTGGTGTGGTTTAATAAAAACATCAGTTCATCCACTTCAACCTGGCTGCATGTGTGTATGCATTTACGTCTCTAGCAGTTCCCATATCACTGTATATTGGTTATGCCTATCTAAGAGGTTTTTTTTAAATTATTCCTGCTGACAAAATTGATTGGAACCAGGCGAACCGGAATTCGAGTCGAATTTCAGGAAATATTCGATTCGCGGCGAAACCGAAATTTTGCCTACTTCGGGTGCGCGAATCGAACATTTCCCGATCAGCCGGCAAAAGTGTCCCTGCAGTGAGCTCCGCTATTTCTGACAGTTCTCTGACAGAAGGAACACATGTTTAGCGGTTGAAACATTGTATCTATTAGTTTACATTTAGGATACAGATGTTTCAACCACTGTTCATGTGAAGAAGCTGTGAGAGAACTGTCAGAAATAGAGGAACTCTGCACATACACTTTTTGCCGGCTTGGAATTATTCTTCTTTTCATCCTACTTCTTCTTCTTCTTCATCTTCATCCTCAGAAGAAGAGGATGAGGATGAGGATGAAGAAGAAGAAGAAGAAGAAGTAGGATGAAAAGAAGAATAATTCCAAGCCGGCAAAAAGTGTATGTGCAGAGTTCCTCTATTTCTGACAGTTCTCTCACAGCTTCTTCACATGTACAGCGGTTGAAACATCTGTATCCTAAATGGAAACTAATAGATACAATTTGTATCTATTAGTTTCCATTTAGGATACAGATGTTTCAACCGCTGTACATGTGAAGAAGCTGTGAGAGAACTGTCAGAAATAGAGGAACTCTGCACATACACTTTTTGCCGGCTTGGAATTATTCTTCTTTTCATCCTACTTC